CTCCCTCTGTCTCTCTCCCTCTCTGCATGTGTCTCTCTGTCTCTCTGTCTCTCTCTGTCTCTCTCTCTCTCTGTGTGTAGTTACTACAAGACTGGAGAGAAATGAAAGTAGGAATAAATGAAGCTCCGAACATATCCAGAGTTCTGACATGAAGTGAAAAGACATCAACCTTTAAAAAAAGTTACTTGCATTCCATGTGTGTGTTTTCTTGCATGCTCACATGTGCACCAGATGCATACAGTGCCCCTAAGGCCAGAAGATGGTAACAGAGCCCCTGGAACTGGAGTCAACTGGAGTCACAGGGAGTTGTGAGACACCCAATATGTTCTGGGAACTGAAGCAATGTCGTCTGCAAGAGCAACCTGTGCTCTTAACAACTGAGACAATCTTCCCTGCTATACAGTTAGATCCAGGAGGGTTATATTTGTGTCCACTGGAAGAAGCAAGAACTCAATAGCAAACAAAACATCCACAGGCAGACAGATGCACAAAGGAGGAGCCCAGCAGGCAGAACACTTTCTCTTCCTCAGAGCCTCAATTCCTACCTTTGCTTCAACCCTGTGTGTGCATGGCAGCATCTAGCCATGCTCCCTCTCCCACTCCACCTCCCTCTATTTTCTTTCTTTCAGTCCAGTCCTGGGACTGAACATGGGAGCTTACACAAGCTAGGCAAGAGCTCTACTACTGAGCCATAACTCCAGTCATTTTCATTTTGACAGGATTTTGCTCTGTACCCCAAGCTGGTCTGTAACCTGCAATCCCTCTGCTTCAGCCACCCAAGTAGCTGGGATTATGAACATATACTTCTCTCTTTTTTAAAAAAGCCTTTTGTTCCCTATCTTTCTTTCCTGTAGTGTTTATTATTTTGTTTAATTTTATTTAAAATCTTACGAGGAATAGTTTGGGTCAATCAGAATTATCTGTCCCTTTTAGAACTCTGTTTCTTCTGTGCCAACTCATTTCCTTACATTCTCCATGATTAAAAACTACTCACAACTTTTCTGAGGATCATGTGAATTTCTTAAATTTCATCTTTATTTTCAAAGGAACAAAAGCCTCTGTGGGGGTGTGGTGGTACCTACCAAGGCATTGTCCATTCCAGCCTCGGAAGCCTTCCGTGCAGGGGATGCACTGGTAAGAACCCGGGGAGTTCACACACTGTTCATCAGGACAAGTGCTTGGTGTCAGACACTCATCAATATCTGAAAAATTAGGAAGTGAGGTGGTGAGCATTTTATCAGAAGGTTCAAACAAACTCTGACTTTCATCATAGGACTGAAGAAAAGTAATCTTATATTTCAGGGAAGAAGATAACCAGGAGAGTCATTGGTCAAGCCGCAACTATCCAACAGGAACAACAGTTGGAAAGGCAGCCTTCTCTACTCGAGGAGGTGGTGGGTGCTCTAAGGCCACACTGTGGACCAAATCTTTCCAATGATAGCACCACTTTCCAGAAAGAAATGAGAAATGAGGATGGGTGTGAGGAAGCCACACATCCAATGGGTTGAGGCATTCTCCGTAGATACGAAGTCTCTAGGGAAATCTTCACATTGTTTTTATAGATTAGAGGACATTGTAGGCTCGACTCATTTAAAATCGTTCATGTGATATGAATTCCTTAGAGGCAGAAAGGAAATTAGGGGAAAATGAACTCATCAGACACTTCAAAAATGTTCCAGCAAGGGTTATATGACCATCTATAAATAGCCTCCAAAAAGATGCCGCTTTTACTATCCACCTCTAAGGGATGTTATTAATCACAATTCTCTCCAAGTAAGAAAGCACTTTAGATATGATTGGGAGTCTGTCAGTGTGTGCATGTGTGAGTGCACCACAGAGCACGTGCGTGTGTGTGTGTGTGTGTGTGTGTGTGTGTGTGTGTGTGTGCACCTCAGCGCACGTGTGGAGATAAGAGGACAACTTTGGGGAGTTGGTTCTCTCTTTCCATCATGTGGGTCCTGGGGACTGAACTCAGGTTGCCATACTTGGCAACAAACACCTTTACCCACTTAGCCATCCTGTTAGTCCTAAGCATGGTGTCTTATATAGCATGGAAAAGCAAGGAAAAGGGGGATCCAGTTTAAAATGGTATCAGTCTGGGGTCACTATCTCCATTTAGTAGAAGCCCATTTTCCTGGAGGGGGATTTTGTATTTAGAGAAGTACAATTCATATCTAGGTTTCCAAATACAAAGTATACAGGACAGAGGACCTCAAAACATACCTATTTAAACACACTTTCAGGATGCAAGTCAAAACATGAAAGTAAACATAAACATTAGATATTTGGTGTCTTCCTTTTAGATACCTTTAAAATCACTTTGTGAGAGATGCTTTTGAGGAAAGATGCTTAAAGTGGAGATAGTTCAAGATCATGGGAGGACCGGGTCATTGTTGTAACTTTTTGCTAATCAGGGAAAAATTCTTATTCTTGCCAATAGACACGACACACAGTATTGCGCTCTCTCTCTCTCTCTCTCTCTCTCTCTCTCTCTCTCTCTC